AGTACTGAGGCACACAACAGGTCAGCATTGCTACCGCTGCTGAACGCGGATTGTGCGGACAGCTGCATTAGCTTCAAATAACTCATCTACTAGCTAGCAGCGTAACAACAGCAGTGTCTAGCACTTCCACGGTTCTCTGAGAAGGTTGCTCCTTCCTTCATTGCAGGTAACATATTAACTCATCTGAAGCAGCCCGTGACACTCTATGCAAGTTTATTCACTGTATTATACATGAGTTTTTATTCTTTACCAAACAGGTGTTTTAATAACCTGGATTTTAGGAGGACACAAGAGCCAGACATTAGATTGTTGGTTAGCTAATTGAATTTAACAGCTGGAAACATCTGAAGTTAAAGCCAACAGTATTCTGATAACCAGTATTTACATACAGATAATAAAGTATTCTCAGAGAAATCAGAGCTTTTCCCTTTTGTCATTTAATATACGTATGTACCTTGAATCATCTCACTGATTTTATTACATATTCCAGCAGCAAAATCCCTGTAGAGAAAAAACAAAGTATCAGGTGAAATGAAAAATAAATATTTTAAAATAAAAATCATCTGAACTACTAAACATTGTGTTTTGACAATAAAAACTTTCACAAGAGTGCTTGACAAAGACTTAAGTCATTTTAGAACACCTGCACATGAGCATGATCAAATGATAAAATGGAAGCTTTCAAAGATGTGTCAGAGACAAACAGCACTACATTTTGTTTCCTAAAATAATTTCTGTGAAATAATCCTTCATTAAGGCTGCTATTCCACTTTGCATTCCCATATCTATGACCTTTCATTACTATTTTAGGGAAAAGAAAAAAATCTGTTAAACTTGTATTCAGATTTCTTTACAATACAGTTACTGCACATAATTAAATGTTTTGTTATAAATGACACGGTTAGCATTACAGAAGGAAATATTAAGGTTTGTGAATGCCAATGTCCACGGAGTTTCCATTCTCTATAACATGAAAAGCTGAAAATAATATCTTACTTGGATTGCGCAGAAAAGTTGGCAGCAGCAAATATAGCAGCTTCAACTTCCACATTATCATGGGAATCCAAACTCTGACGAATACTGTGATGTGCATTCTTCCTTTCTGGAATAATAGATGCCATGCTGCCCAACATCCTACAGACATAAATTACAGCAAAATCAGGAAGAAAAATAATCATGAAGAAATGCAAGATGAAACCAAGTAAAAATGTAAAAGGACTGGTTAAAAGACTATTTTTATATAAATATGTGCTCTTTCACATCTATTATAGAAACAAATGCCAAAAGTAATCATTTAATTAAAAGGTAAAGAATTGTGTCATGTGGGTTAGGTCAGTGGTTTAATAAAAAATTAATTACATTTTGATACCTCTTAGCTTGAAATGAGCACAGTGAAAAACAATTTTATAAGAATTCTTGGTAAAAGTACAGTATAGCACTGGGAACAAGTACTTTTAAGATCCTTTTACGTTCAAAGTTCTGGTAGCAATACAACAGATTTAATGCTAAAACATACTGATGGCTATTTTCAGACACACATGAAGTACACATCATGGGATATAAATTCAGAAATGTGGTAATCTAAGGGGATAAAAAAAAGCATTTAGAGAACTGTTTCCACCATTTCTAGCCCTCTTCCCAATTAGGACTGCAGAAGTAAATAAGTGAGAAATGTCTGAACAGTCATAATTTTTAACATACTAAGAACACCGAGTTTCTAGAATGTTACCATGACGAAGCAAACATATCTGACTTTCATCATTTGGTTCCAAGATCTTTCACTGATGCGATAAAAGGTTATTACTGGGAATAACGAATACCTTTTGTGCAACTGCTAGAAAAGGAACAAATCAAGCTATACTTTGCTAAGAATATCTCAAAGATTCTTTTCAAGCATATTTAGCACAATCCAATTAAAAGAAGAATGAATGCAGGATTTGCACTAATATAATTTTAGCAGGAGTTCTATGCAAATATTTACCCACAGTTAGCTAGCAATGAAATTCCTCAGACACTAAGTTTTATTTTAGCAGATCTTTCTTTCAGCACGTTCTTTCTTACTGACACTAATTAAGGAGGACAAAAACAAATCAACTGAAGATTTTAATCTGAAACTGCTGAACCAACAGCCACTTCAACCTTTCACTTGATGCATCCTGTGAAATTATTAGTAATTTAAGTATTTTTTTTTAAACTGAGTGGATTCCTGGGATTTCTAGCAGTCTGTAAAGATAGCCCTCAATACTAGTCAACAATTGTAATCTTATGTTAGAACACTGAAGTGGAACTACAAGAAAACACGTAGAAATACTATATTTACAGACTTCTAAAGACACCAGAGCATGAAAGCATAATCTCAAATAAAATATCAAAAGAAATTACATATGAACTAATCAAACAAACCCTTGCTAATGCCTCCCATCTTTCAATAGTGAAATCAGTAACAGTTCTAGAAGGATAGAAGAAAATAGAAAGGGAGAAAGAAGAGTGCTCTCTTCACATCTGAATTAAATGGCACAGGAGTTGGAAGATGCAGTTAAGATTATCACGTTGGATAGTGTTAGAGACCTAGACACCAAAACAGCAGGACAGTAACATTAAAGATAGCTTATTTTTACTTTTTTTTCCCCGTATCTGATTCCCAGGAATTCCAAAGCAATCAGTAATACCATAGCACTTTCTCAGAAGTTATTGATCAGAGACCAATAAGCAGTAAACCTCTAGGACAACAATAAATGAAAAATAGGTACAGGCATAGCAAGGTTCACATAAATAAATTCTGGTTACAAGTTAACAAAAATTATTTTGACACTTAAAGAAGCACTTTCCTTTTGGACCTGGTCTAAATATATCTTAGGTAACATATGATACATTGCATATTGCTACTGCCTGCATTATAAGTACACCTGGTTCATTTTTCTTCTCTTGAAGATTTCAAAATTTCAATGCTGCAAATTCTGTTTTGCCTGGAGCTATCCACAAAATTCTCACCATCATAAATGGTTAATAGCCTTATTATTCTGAACACAGATACCTTTACTTTTAACATTATGAGCAATGTATAAGACACCTCCTACATTTCATTCATGGTAGTTGCAGATTTTGTTATTCTAGACTTGCATACTAATAAGTAGGTAGAGATTTGAAGTAAATTAGGCTCATTTATGTAATACATACCGAAGTGTAATAGCTCGAGCAACTGGATCATTGCTATGAATTACTGAGAAGACTCTTTTGACAAATTCATCCACATTTAGGATCTTCTCTAAGTGCTTCTCACTCTGCTGAGTAACTTTCAGCACACACAGCCTCAGGAAGTTGTTTCTAATAGAAGACACATGCATTTCTTTACCAGACTGTTTTATAATAAATATTCAAACACTTTAAATGTGAAATTATTTAAGAAAACTTCAGAGAGTAAATTAAGACAATGAAAGATCTGTGCTTTAGAAGTATTATATTTAAGTGAACTGATATAGTCAAAAACAGACTACTAACACACTAATGTTTTATTTTCTAACACAGGTAGTGTCAAATTTAGGCCCAATTCCAGGGAAACAAACCTGCTGACACCAGTGAGAAGGAATGTAAGCAGATGCCTGTTTTCTGCACACTTAGGGATCTAATTCTGCTAGAAAACCATGTCCAGGATTAAGACACAAAAGCCTAATTGCCATTGCCAGGCACCAATGAATTTCTTTTCCTTCCTGGATCCAATTGTCAAGATTCCACAACAGCAATAGATAACTTTGTAAACTATTACAAACTTTGTAAGTTATTGCAAAGTAGCTCCAATTCCACCACATGCATCATTTAGACATCAGGCGCTTTGAAAAATTGTACTTCGGGCTTTGTTATTAACATTCCTTAGAGATGGAATTTGCACATATGATCATTCATCTGTTTATTAATTATGAATTTCAATGTGCCTGCAGAGCATAATTTACACCAATGAATTTAAACCAGTCAGCAAGGGAATCCTCAAATCAGGGCAGATGGAAAGGAGCCACGTCATTGATCACTCACAGCCACTTAAGCCCACTAAAGACAGGGAAAGCAAGCTTCAATCAAGCACAACTTGTCCTCAACAGAGTAGGTACCACAGGGGTATTATCAGGCAAGTGGAAAAACCCCACGGCTGCCCAGGCTCCAACGCAGCAACGCTCCCAGAGGGAGTGCATTACTACGGATCAGAGACTTGAATAGACAGAAACTGACTGATGCTACTTACCCCACTCTGAAAACATCAGCCAGCTTTAGGAAAGCTGAATTAATGAGAATAGGGAAAGGGTATTTCTGGAAAAGCCTGGGGAAACGAACGACGGCCTCGCACTGCTCTCCGAGCTTGCCAGACCTGAGGCCTAAACGAGACAACGATCATTACTGCCGATGCCAACGTTCCTTCAAACCCGGGCCCTCCCTCCATCCCCCGCTCGCCGTAAGGCGGCACAGAACACAGCTCCCAGCCGCTGTGGACCGAAGGCCGGGCCGTGCCCGCCCCCCCACAGCGCGGCGGGGGGCAGAGGGCGGGCGCCAACGGCCCCAAGCGCAGCCGCACGGGGCAGGCAGCCCCAGCGCCGCTCCCCGGGCTGGCGGCAGCCCCCAGCCCGCCCGGCCTCACCTTTGTCTAGCTCCATGAGGGCAGAGTTGGCGTCCAGCTCCTGCTCGCCGTAGCCCGCATCGGCCAGGAAGGACTTGGCGCTGGCAGCCATACCGATACCGGCACCAGCACCCCCGGACTCGACCCGGCCCTGCCACCACGCATGCGCAGTCGCGCTCCCGCCGCTTCAGCAGCCACAGCGGCGCCGCGCCATTCTGTGCGCAGGCGCGGCTGCATCTGGGTGACCCAGCGGCGGGTGGGTGTGGCCCGGCGGGCCCGCCCTCTCCGCGCCACCCAATCAGAGACAGTGGGGCGGGGCGCAGCGGGCGCCTGTTGGCCAATGAAGGGGCCGAAGCGCATTTGGCGGGTCGGTCGGTGGCGGGAGTTGGCGCCACGAGCCGGGTGTCCCCCCGCGCGCGCGCGCCGGCTGTCCTGGGCCATGCTGTGCCGCGCGCTGCTTCACCGCGCTTCGGCCGCGCCGCCCCGTGAGTACCGCTCCTCGCGCCGCTCCTCGAGCGCCTCCGCAACCGCTGTGGGGGCCTCGGGTCCGCCCCTCGCGCCCGCATCGCCTGGTGCGGTTACGGTCTGTCTGTCTCCCCGTAGGTCGGTCCTCGCCGCTTCCCCTGCAGCATCTCTTGGACGGCTACCAGTGCGGCCGGGAAGATGACCACCTGTCTTATGGGGAAATGGGAATGCCGGTCCCTCCTTTCGGCTGCGCCTTTTCCGCAGGTAAAGTCGCCTTCCGAAAGGCCCTTTTAGAGGCCAGGGTGTGGGCACCTCTGTCAGCTGGGTTTTTTTTTTGTTTGTTTGGTTTTTTTTGTTTTTTTAAATATGTCTCATATGTCAGGGGTGAAGCACTGGCCCGGGTTGCCCAGAGCAGCTGTGGCTGCCCCCTCCCTGGAAGGGTTCAAGGCCAGGTTGGACGGGGCTTTGAGCAACCTGGTCTGGTGGAAGGTGTCCCTGCTCATGGCAGGGGGCTTGGAACCAGGTGACCTTTAAGGTCCCTTCCAACCCAAACCATTCCATGATTCTGTGATTTGGTTTCATACTTCCTTGTTTTAAAGTGAGCCGGTAATAGTGCACTTGCACCTAGATGTGATATAAATGGGATCATGGTGCTCCTAGGTACACTGGTGGAAAGTATTCCCTTAAAGAAGCAGCTACAAAGCATTTATTTTATTGTTGCTTTTTTTCAGTTTTGTCTGTTTCAAAGTATGTCCTCTTGGTGACACTGCTAGGCCACATAGTTAAAAGTTGGGCTTTGTTCAAAATACATGAAAGGTATAACAAGATGGAGAATAGTATGTAGAAATCAAAGAGGTTGATGGATGTTACTAGATGGCTACATGCAGCCTTTCCCCATGATAAATACATGATGAGTGAAGTAAGTGTGGAAGCTCCTGGATCTTTAGGGCAAAATTTCATTTGTAGTACTCTAGTTTTGGTGTGAGATTATACGTTTCTCCAAGGCAGCTTCCTGCTTTTCCAACTCAGATGCATAGAAAGTACTGGAGGTCATAGATGATAGGTAATATAGATACAGAAAACTATAGCTAGAGAACTATTACAGCTTGTGAGAGAGGCCATTATCTCAGAAGTTGCTCCTGAACCCATTTGATTGCCCATGTATAGTAGTTCCTGAATGGAACATCTAGAAAAAATGCTTGCCAATATTTCTGCATTTTGAACATTGAAATTGCTATGTAAATGCTGTTTATTTCGCAGCTATTTGCTGTGTACCTTATTTAAAATGTCTGGCCCTTTACAAAGAGCAGGGGCATGATTATGAATCAGCTACATAATACACAATTACATTTCAATTTCTTTTCAGTCCCCAGTTTGGAACATGTACTGGCAGTTGCAAATGAAGAAGGATTTATTAAACTGTATGATACTGAAGCTCAAACTACCAGCAAACTCATCTTTAAGGGTAAATGTTATATAGAATGTGATCTTCATTTGATGTATGTGGCTTACTGGAATCAAAGAAAGCTTTTTGCAAGTAGTTTAAACATAAATGTGGGCAGTACTTAAATCCTTTCATATACCTTGCTGAGTGTTCTTTACAAAGCAGCCGTGTGAGCATTCTCTTACAACAGCAGTAGTAGGTGAATTGTTCTGCGTTGTTTTTCATGCCTAAGGCAAGCTGTTGACAAGTTTTCTGATTTCAGTGTCTGATGTTATTTAGTCTTCTGCAAAATATTGTGCTGCAATGTGCTGAACTAATCTTGGCTTTTGTTTTCTTGTTAGAATGGCAGGCTCACTCAAATGCTGTATTTGACCTTGCCTGGGTACCAGGGGAACACAGGATTGTAAGCAGTCTTTTGCTATCTGACTTTATTTTTAATGCTTTGGCAACTGTGTGCAGAAAATGACTGAAGATTTTTACTTTTTCATTTCAAGGTCACTGCTTCAGGAGATCAGACAGCTAAGGTGTGGGATGTGAGAGCTGGCGAGCTTCTTGGCATATGCAAAGGTCACCAGTGTAGCCTTAAGTCAGTTTCTTTTTCTAGATTTGAGAAAGGTAAGATATTACCTGTTGTCTGCTTTTTCCTTCTTCTTTCCCTCTGGCACATCAGTACTTTTCAGGCTAAGGGACTTTGGGAACTGACAGTTACAAATAGCACAGGCCGACTGAACCGTGACCCCGTCAGTGAAGCAAAACTAACTTGTTGGAACTTCACAGTGACCTGATGCTAACATCTGCACATTTCTGATCTTGGAAAGTTTAAGATATGATACCTACTTCCATATATGTGTGTAAATACTCTTTTCATAAGCAGGTCTCTCTAGAACAGTAATAAAAAAAGAATAGTAAGAATAAGGAAAATAGTCAAATAGCATGGCAGAACAATGGTCTGACTTTTGTATTTCTAGGGCTGGCCTCCCAGGTTTTGGGCAGAAGAGCCAGAGGCACATAGTACTGCATTCAGTTAATTAAATTATCACTTTTGGAAGCTAATAGCATTCTTTTTCCCTCTCTCAGCTGTCTTCTGCACTGGAGGCAGAGATGGAAACATCATGGTTTGGGATACCAGATGCAACAAGAAAGGTAACTGAACTTTCAGATATGTATCAGAAAAGCTCAGTATCTTGTGTAAGAATAGTACTCGGATATATTTGTTGGACTAATGCTTTTGATTACAATCAAAAGAGAAGGGTTGTCAGATAACAGTGTACTGCTTTAGTACAGTAAAAGGATGAAATAGATATTCTATGTATAATACATTTTTCCACTTTGTAACAGTCTCAGATTTGCAGCATAATATACATGGTGGCCCGGTAATACTCTGTGTACTTGTAAAGAGATAAGGGGGTACAGAATATATCCTTGTGTTGGACAGCACAGAGATGGGCTGGGTGAGAGCACATAGGTCAGAGCCATCCGGAGGGATGAAGCAAAGCTGGGAAGGCTCCTGCCAGAGTAGGAAGGAAGGCAGAAAGTGCAGGAGTAAAGGAGCTTGTGGGTGCTGGGAGCAACCAAATGTATTGTGGGAACACTTAGTAAATGCAGGGTGAGCTCATTCTGCTCCTCATTCTGCTTCCTGGAGCTTTTCCTTCCACAGTCAGGTCATTCCCTTATGCTTCTTCACTTCCCTGCTTTGTCCCAGCAGTTTCCTGGCCTGTGTTGCCAGAACATGTCTCACTTTCTCATCTGTCCCAGGTTCCCTGTGTCTTCAAACTGGCAATTGGAGGAAAAGGGAGGTTCTCTCTGATTGAAGTGGAAGGTATAGGGGAAAAAAAGTAGAAAAGTCACTTAACTCTAGTAAAGCAGTAAGTTTCATAAAGTGAGAAGTAGCAGACAAAAGGCTAAATAGGAAATTATAAAATAGAATGGAAAAGCACTGGAAACCTTCTTGTGAGTGCAGTTCTTCTTGGGATGATTTGAGTTGAGTGCTCCAGACCAGGATGCATGCTGAAGACCAGACCACAGGGTAATGATTTCCAAAAACAGCCTGCCTAGACCAGTTTTAGTCTCAATGCCCACACTACACTGACCTCTGTAATTTTTTGCAATATATGCTCCTGTTTTCTACTGTGTTCTTCTCATTGGTTTCATATGTAACTAACAATTTTTGTTTTCAGAATACATTAATGATTTTAAAAGTCTCAGACACTTTTTTGGGGATTTATTCCAAACTGATGGTTGTTTTATTAAAGTAATAGCAAAATTGCATAGAAACTATTAATTGAGATATCTTTGATTTCTTTCAGATGGATTTTATAGGCAGGTGAATCAAATCAGTGGAGCACACAATGTGGTTGACAAGCAGACTCCTTCCAAATCAAAGAAGAAGAGGCAGAACCTAAGAGGACTTGCTCCCTTGGTGGTAGGTGTCTGGGAAACAAAGGAAAAGTAGGCCTCTCTTCTGAGGACAGTGTTATTCACAGAAGTCTTCCTAAGTAATTATCATGAGAAATATTTGGCTTGAATGTGGTAAATTCTTCCATTTATCTTTGCAGAGGTAGGTTTTTGTGTCATGGTCACTTGCTATGGCTAATCTTAGACATTGTTTGGTTCTCTAACAACCCATGTGCCATCAAAGCCATCTTTGTGCAAATGCCATGTGAAAATACATTTTTTTCTTTTCCAGAGAGGAAACAAGTGGCCAGCACGCCTTTTTTGAGGAGATAGGGAGGATTGTAATTTCTTTTTTTCTTTTTTTTTTTTTTTTTTCCTCCTACTTTGACCACAAAAATTTCTGCCTTACTGGAGTAAGACCTGGTCTTATTTAATCTATTAAAACTTGTGATGAGGCAGCTCTTATCTCTCACCTGAAAGATATAATTTCAAACTGCTGCCCAAACACTTCCTGCTCAGTGCCAGTTTCACTGGTGGGAGTATTCGAAGGACTGTTGTATCCTAAATGGCATCTGGTATTTTCAGGTTCTTCTGCCTGGCTAGGAGGAGATTTTCTTGGTATTTGCTTGGATTTGAGCTAAGCAACAAGATCTTGCTGACCTTGAAGGAAATTATAGTGGATTTTTTTTCTTTTTAAGGATTTCCAGCAGAGTGTAACTGTGGTACTGCTTCAGGATGAGCATACTCTTATCTCTGCAGGAGCTGTTGATGGGTAAGGAGGAAGGATGCCTGCTCTTCTATATTCTGTGTGTTCTACTTAGTGGCACAGAAAGATTGGGGAATTATTTTCCTAAGATCACTCAGTGGCCTACAAGGCTAGAGTTAACTATTAGGTAAAATCAGCAGAGCTATGCTGCCAGCTTGCATTGGCAAAGCTCAGTGCTGCTTTTCTTCCTTACTGGAGATCACAGTGCTGGGACAAATTGTGCATATGTGGTAAATGCTCATTGTAGTGTCTTAGTCACAGGGCAGAATGAGAGCAGTTCTTGTCAACTCTCTCTATTCTCATGGACCTATGGGACCACTCATAAACAGACTATTGTTAGACAGTGAGCTGTTTTGGGATGTGAGTGGGTGGTTGGTGCCTGGATGTGTAGGCGTGCTTGAGAAAATGTTGCCTTGAGTTACAAAAGATGCATTCTTGTAGGTGCCAGATCCGTTGCAGCATCCTGGAACTCGAGCAAACTGTCTCATTGATTAGCATGGGGATTGCCCTCTCAGGACTCAATTCTTTAGCAAGTTTCATGTGGTCAGAGCCTTTCTGAGGCAGATAAGATTGACTCTTCTGCCTATGGCTCATGAGAGAGGTTTGTTCCTGGAGACCAAGAAAAAACTTGAAGGACTTAATTTTTAAAAGTATAAGTCAGGAGTATAAAGGCATCCTTGTATTTCCTTTTACTAGTTAAAGAAGGTTGATTTGCTGACTCTTATATCTTATGTTAGTTACAGAAGACATTTCTGCTTCCTCTTCCACACCCAGCAAAGCAATTGTTTTGCTTTCAGCACATCTCTGCTCTGCTTCTGCTCAGTTGTGCTCCTTAGCACTGCACACTCCTCAGTAATGAGCAACCTGTCTTCCTGTACTCTTAGGCCCTATCAGCATTGCAAAAGAAATTTTGAACTTGTGCTTTTCTATTTCAGTGTGATCAAAGTATGGGACTTGCGTAAGAACTATGCTGCTTACCGTCAGGACCCGGTGCCTTTCAAGTCTTTTTGCTACCCTGGGACCAGTACTCGAAAACTTGGTAAGTTACTGGAGGATGTATTTGTTAAAGTGCAAAATGAATGTAAAAGGTACTGACAGTGCCATCTCTTACCTTTTTAGCCAATTATTGATCAGACTAACAAGCTCAGCAGGGTATTTTGATTGCTAATGCCAAATTTTCAAGTTGAGGAGTGGAAGTGCCCCACTTTTGTATCACTGCACCGATGATAAAATCTTGCATAAGCTTCAGCCGTGTATTTTCAGAAATGGAGATGAGGGAATAATATAGCTCTTGAGGTAGAATTTAGCTACTCACTTTGATGCATGAGTAGAAATCAGACTGAACTCTTTCTTTGTATTGTATCTTGTAAAGACAACAGACCAGACTGGGTTTTTACATTATAACCTTCCAGAGTCAAGCAATACTTGCAGCTGTTTGTTATCAAAAACAATAGTGCTCTTGTTCATGTTGCTCTGTGCTTCTTTGTATCTTAACGCCTTGCAATGCTCTGATGCAACACAGTAATTCCTGATGACTTGTCTAATCAGTTATCTTGATGTGGTAATGGTCAGTGTCAGTCCCAAGAACATGAGGGAAATCATCAAGGAGTTGGTTGTGAAATAGTTTACTTTCAGGGATAGATTTTTCTTTAACCTAAATCATTAGCAAATCAGAGATTGGCTTATTCTACCAAATTATGGGGGTTTATATTTCTTTTTAATCTCTGCTTCTACAATTGTTTTTTCCCATTATCCATTTGAAACTATCAAATAAATTGCTTGCCTGCTCTAAAGGTGAGATTCCTCTCTAAGTATCATTCCGAATCCTTATGAGAAAATGTAGATGTTATTCTAGAAACTTTCCTTCTCCAGTAAGTGCTCTGTCAAACAGATAAACTTTTCAATGACAATTTCATATGTGACAGAGATCACTTCCAAATTTCCTTCTCTGGGCATTTCTTTGAAAAAGCCTGTTTTCCAAAATGTTTTTTATGGAGTTATTTCTTATGAAGAACTTCTCTCTTTATCTATAGGATATTCTAGCCTGGTTTTGGATTCCACTGGTGCTAATCTGTTTGCTAACTGCACCAATGACAGTATCTACATGTTCAATATGACAAGTTTAAGGACCACTCCAGGTAAGCATCATATCTGTGAAAATAGTTGCAAAAAAAAAACATATTCCAGAGGATAGAAAGACAAGTTTCCCCCTATGACTTGGAGACAGAGACCAGCTTGAGCACTTAAGAAATCTATTCCATGCTCTTCTGTCTAAAGCTACCCCAGACAGAAGGCACCTGTTACAAGGGCGGTTCATAATTTGTGTTAAGCCATCCACATAAAATTAATAGCACAAAAACTTACATAGGTGAAGATACTGGTTCATACAGACAGTGGCTATTTATCTGGTGAAGAATGGCTAGTGTCCAGCTGCTACCCGCCTGAAGCAAGCTTGAATCTTCTGCTTATTGGCAGTCAGTGATTTTTCAAACTCTTAGATATGAATCCATGTAAAGTGATCACCTGATATGTTGTATTCAGATATTTTAAGGGATCTTTTAAATTTACCTTCTACTGCAGTTTCTGGGATAAAGAATCCCCAACATATTGTGGAGATGTTTCAGCTTTTTAGATTCCTTCAGCTCTGCATCTGTGACCTTTATATTGACAAGATGGCCCACAGCCTTTGGTGCACTAAGTTGGTTTGCCATAGGCCAGTGGAAGCTTCTCAGAAAGCAGCAAAACGTTAGATGCATTCCAGTCGGACACATGATTTAGTTTCCTTTGCCTTTTCTCAGTCTCTCAGTTAATTGAAATTTAATGAACAATGTGTCCCTCTGTCTGCTCTTCAGAAAGGCAGTCTGGTGGGTGGGAATGCTTCCAGAGTTGAGAAGTGGTGCGAGGAGTAAATATTAATAGGTCAATTGTTGAGGTTAACACTGGGTGCCACCGCTGAGCTGTGGAAATACGCTCACCAGCCTGTCCCCCCACCCCAGGAGTGAGCACAGGGCATCCCGCCCTTGGACTCCTCATGGAGCTCTTGCCTTCTAATCTCTGCAGCCAATAAAACCGGGGGAGCAATCTCGATTCATCCAGCCGGATGAAGCGTGTGCGGCTGTTCCCGCAGAGGGCAGCGCCTGCCCATGGGTTGGGGCCTCTCTCCTTGCTCACTGGCTTGTATCCGGCAGCGGCTGCTCTTAGCCGTTATCACAGAGGGACGTGAGGAAATCCTCACTGTAGCAGGACTTGCTGGTAGGTCTGGTTTAGGATGGGACTTGCTGTGTAGTAACCACTGCGCTGAGAGCTGTGGGTAAAAACTAGGATATTTTGGGGCCTTACAACTTTTCAAAGACCACCAAATGCAGCCACATGCCCTATGGTCTGTGGGTTGCCGCCTTTGCCAAAACCACTATCAAACAGGGCTGGTGGAGGGGGTGCCAGCCCTGCCTGATGCTACATCAGTGTCCTTTCTGCCCCAATGAGAGGACAGGACATGGTGCTGCCAAGTGCTCTAGATCCACACGCAGCTCTTGTGCCAGCTCTTCAGGTCCTCACAATAGGGAGAACAGAAGCCATTCGGGGCAATGGTTTCAAGGTGTTCACAAACACTACTGAGGCTTTAAATACAGGCAGCCAGTGAGCATGGCTGACATGATGCAGTTTTATTGATGAAAAAAAGATGCTGGCAGCTGGGTGAAGGACCATCAGGTGCCTTTGTTGCTGCCTGGGTGGAAGAAGGTCCTGTTTTCTGGAAGGAAAGAAGGCTATGTTTTCTGCACAACTGCCCTTGTAGCAGGGCTGGTGATGGCAGCTGAGGGAGGAAGAGACAAGGAACCTTAATCAGAGTATCAGGGCAGGCCAGGTGATGGCTTAGCCTGCTTGCAATATGGGTCAAGCTAAATCTTCAATGAAACTGATACCTCTTCCTAATGCTGTGGAGGGAACTGTTTCTTCGTTTGGGAAGCCTGAAGGGCTCCAGTTGAATAATAAAAAGAGCAAGAGAGCAGTGCAACCACTTTCTCCAGAGGATATGTGGCTAGGCAGGAAAAGCCTGTAAGATCAGCCCTCCTTGCGCAACGGACTCCGGGGCTGTGCATTGAGTGGGGCTTTTATTTTCCCTCTTTTTTTCTTTTCACAGTGGCTGTTTTTAGTGGGCACCAGAATTCAACCTTTTACATCAAATCCAGCATCAGCCCAGATGACCAGTTTCTGGTCAGTGGCTCGAGTGACTGCAATGCTTACATCTGGAAGGTGAGGCAACTGGGACAGATCCAAGTGTGCAATCCAGAGCTGCTCCGCTCTTCTGTTTTCATTTTCTTTTCATGTTCACGTAGGACACTCCCTGCCTCACACTCGTACTCAAAACAGCATGGGGTTAACTCCTGGCATGTTGTGCCCAGAGTGTGTTTGTTGCTGTCAAGGCTAGATGTAACTGTTTAATGTAAACCAGAGCTAACCTCCTGCCATCAATATGTCTCTCATCACTCCTGCTTATTGCAAGCTGCTGATCTTAATCTGGTTTTAATGGACATTAAAATCCTCTTTCAACCACGTTGTCTCAGCCAGCTATGACAAGTAGACAGACAGTTCTCAGTTCATATTTATCAGTGGAGCACATAAGTGGAAACCTAACAATTTTATTGTTTTAAAGGGAACACTTTCGCCCCCACCTCCCCTTTCTCCAGCTCTTGCTTCAGACGTAACTTTTTATCATGCTTAATTTACAGTAGTTGTAGCCTTTATATTACAGCAAGGGCTCAGCCAGAGCCTTCAGCAAAATTCCAAAGCACCATCTGACAGCATAGAGGCTTCAAGCTTCGTCACTTGGCATCTTGCACTGATGTGTAGGAAATGCAAATGTCACCAAGTTAATAGCAGGGACCTCAGAATAAGGCGTGCTTCAAGTTCTGTTCTCCATACTTGACAGCCATATGGGAACAGTAGACTTCTTATTGAAGTAGAATAGACAGAAACCATAAGTGACTGCCTGTTTCAGATTTGGGGTAATTTTTAGGAAATACTGTCTTGTTTACCCCTTTCACGATGAGTTTCAAATTAAAATACAAACCTTTCAGAGCAGAGGGTCAGCCTGCTGAGGCTGTGGTTTAAGCATGTAGTCTCTTTGATTTGGAGAATGCTTATAAACAGGTAGGTTGCTTACTCAGTAGCAGCAGGAGTGTGGTAGCATGGCTACTCCCATGCCAAGAGAACATTCCTCATGTTCTGTGCAAGTTCAGCAAAAATACCTGTGCAAACTTGAGTTGCACATTCTGCATTTATGTGTTTTGATACTTTCTTGGAACACAGGCTGGGACTGGGTTGAAAGCACTGAAGGATGTCATTACCTCTTAAAGTTTAAGCATTTAAATACATTTAAAATGCATTTGTATACAGAAGGTTTCTGTTGCTATCACAAGTGACAGATCATACTGTATATTTATTAAATAAATAATCAGATGATTACTTTTATTTTAATCCCATAGTCATGCTAGAATGTGGGACTCCCAGCAAAACTGTCTCTTTTGAGATCTGTCATATCCAGAGGCTTCTTAATTTGTTCTACATGTTGGCAGATTTTACTGACACTGAAACATATCTATCTTTTCATGGTATGAGGACTATGCTATGAAAAAAACATGGTTATGTATTTCATTAGCAGTTAACAGATAATGTCAGAAAGAACTTAATGAGGAGTGCTAGCTTTCCATATCTACAGAGGAATGAAAAGTAGAGGAAGACCTTGTCAAGGAATGAAAGGCAGAGCAAGACCTTGTCCATCCAGATTATTTCTTTGAGAAACTTTTAAGAGCAATCCTAAATTGTGTTTGGGTCAGCAATTCCCAAGGAACACTGTGGCTAGAAGTTATTGCTGACAAGGACGTTGTTTCAGTCTGTTTCCATACATAAATCACTTCCAGGCAATGAACACTTGCTTTATTGTGTTGGTTTGGATTATTTTTAATTACTAGTCTTCTGATTAACAAACTGACTGTCAAACAACCCTAAAGATCATAAAATCCAGAAAGCAGAGAGGTTTATCTCAGTAAAGATGATACCCAGCTGAGATATCTTCCTGGTAATAAAAAACATATACTTCCATTGTCTTTGAATCTGATCATATTAAGTTGCCCTTTGGTTTGTCCCAGCATTGGAATTTAAGTGCTTCTGTAGCGTATGGTGCATAAAACTATATACACCATTTTATGCTGAATCTTAAGGATGGATACAACAGCTGTTTCAGTGAGTAGAGTAACTAATGAAGTCTCATTTCCTAGGTTTCTCTTTTTAATCTTTCCACAATAGCTCTAACTTCCCCACCAATATCCTGTCAAATCAGGCAAAAAGCAACATGTGCTGTAATTAATCCTGGCTTAACATGTACAGACTGGCTGGCTATCTTCTGCCAAACACAGTGCACACAGCTATAACTATGCATCCTCCTCTAGTTCACAATAATATAAGTTGAGTGTAGTTGGTTTAATTTACACTAGTATAGCATAAAACCAGTGTGTCACAGCAAGAGTAATTCTCCTGCTTTCCTTTCAGCAATCAGTGGCTACTGGACCGCTATTGTGTCTGTTATGTCTTTATAGCAAGACTGTTATTAAATGTAAACGAAGGTGTTCCTTGCACCAAGATTTCCTGTTGTTTATTCCCTAAATAGGGATTTAGTTTCCATGGTATTGCATGTTTTGGCAGAGAAGGGAATGCTCTGACCAAGGCATTTAGTGGATATTTAGTCAAATGATTGCCTCTGCGATGTCAGAAAAAAAAAAAAAAAAAAAGTGGCCTGTTAAGATGAACCTGTTTGTATCAGAACAACTTGAAGATCTGAAGCTGGATATTCAATTGCGGTTTTGCAGGCTTTGAGGTCTTGTAGGAGGTGATCCACAAAAGAAAACCTTTTGTGTAAATCAGAAGCCTGTCGCGATGTCTTGCATCTTCCTTGGAAATCTATATGTGACGTCTACTCCCTTTCCTACACAGTAAAGGATTGGTTCATTCACTTAGTCATTTATGCAAATCCCCTTGATAAATCCCCCTTATAATGTCACATCAATAATGGTGACTCATAGCTCCAGAAAGGATTGCCTGCTGAAAGCATGCAAAACTTGGATATAATCTCTGTGTGTGTTTTCTCCTTGGGCCACTTAATGCTAGCTTCAGCTATATCTGTCACTTACATGAGCTGTAATTGAAGATTAGTAGTAATACTCTAGGACAAAAGATAGATTGTTTTATGAAGGATGTAAGAGAAATGGAGATCAGTTTAATGAGCATGAGTGATTTAGGGAGCTTTTTTATGAACTCTTATGAGGATCTCTGGTCCAGCTGGTTGGTTGAAGGAGGTACATGCACTTGACAATCACACAAATGCCAGTTCTGAAGCCAGCGAAGGTTCATTTACAGGATTTTGTTGTTGTTGGTTTTATTTTTTTAATAAACCATTGACCTGTGACTGTAACATTTGTAAAATGGCAGCAGAATATATTTGCCTATCCTGATTCAAACTAAGCTTCCCAAACTTTATAGCATCCTACCTAGAAGAGGTAGAGGTACTTAATAGAGCAAAATGCTTGTGTTGTGTTTTGGGCTGACAATTCTGGAGGCAGAAATCCTGTGTGTAGCAGGAATTGAATGAGTGTTTCCAGGCAAGTCAGTACATCTCAGTGCTGACCAGCTGCTTCACCTCTAGAGATGAAACATGAACTGATTCCTAGGGCTCCATCAGTTGTTGCCTCATGATGACAGGCTGAGAGCATTTGATGTATCCATCTCACATAGGAAAGATGGAACATATTCACATGCTTCACAGGTGGGCTGTGGGGTCTATTCTTCATGATATATATTAGGCTGCGGGATTTCTGATTGTATTCTTGTTTTTCTATGGAATTTTTAAGGTTTCTGAGCCCAGACTTCCTCCACGGATACTCCTTGGTCACTCTCAAGAAGTTACCTCCATTGCTTGGTGTCCTTCAGACTTCACTAAGGTTTGTTTTCTAGAAAACTGTCTTTCCAGCGAAACAATAGATGTGATGTGGCAATATCTGCTTTCCAAAATCGCAGCAGTATTTGTGTATTTGGGAGAAAATTTTTAGTTGGCAATTTCTAAAATGTTCATTAGGGGGGCACTAAACCAAGTTTGTCACATGAGTACAATGTACCAGAACATTTTCATTATTTTCAAACAATTTAGGCCATTTTGTAAGATCTAGGAAATTTCAAATGAACAAAGACCTCTCCTGATGAGAGCTTGTGACACTACCTGTCAGAGACAAAACTGAAACTGTTTCATCAGGGCTTTCATAAGCCAAAAGCTTGTTTTGTGGTTCCATACTTACAGCTTCCTTACCTGTCTGACCATTGATACATCTGCTAGTCTTGTACAGAGCAGCAAGAGGTTTTGCATGTTCTCTAAAAAACATGTGGACTCTTTTCATTGTGACCTTTTTTCAAACTCTGAGCTGTTTTTATGACATAGTGATGTGTACACCCAAAAACCTACAGAGAAATTGGGTCAGTAATTATGCACCAGGTATCACTAAAAGGAAGAGAACTGTAGTAGGTTCATATGATTGGTCTAGCTTGCACTATAGCACCAGGTCTTCAGAAAAGTGTTGCAGTGGAGGAAGGTGGGAGTCTTGCAGGTAAACAGGAAGAATTGTTCTAATTGTGTAAGATGCACAAAAATATGAGAAATAGCATTTTAGATTAAATCTGTGATCTAGAGGTAGCCCGCATCCTGATCATGATGTGTTGGAAATGCAGACCAATATACCCTTTAAAATTGTTACTGACACAGGTAAGAAATAGTCAGCCATTGTACAGATGCTGAAGCATGAAGAAAAGTGGAAAATGTGGTGCTAAGACAGGTCAGGAAGCTGTTTGGACTGATTTGAGAGGCAAAGTTGCTTTCTGTAGGAACAATATTGGTGTCACAGAGGTCAGAGTAGAGGCACTTTCCCATCTAGATTATTATGAACTTTGGCTACACCATTTCCTTTTTCTTGCTGCTCATTCCCATGTGAGTCACTAGCTAATCTGTCTAAAGAGAGCCATAAAATGTGGGCTACATGGGTTCTGCTGCTGCTTCATACAAGATTCCACAGACCCTTTTGGAGCGCATGATGTTGCGGCAGGAATCTAGACCAATGTTTCTAGCAGAATTGGTTTCTCTGCCAGATACTGCTGACATCTGACTCTGAAGAGATAGCGCTTAAGGCTAGTGCGACAGCCTTCCAATGTCACCTTCTCAGTGTGTTGCAAATGTTTGTCCCCAAGCAGAAAAGGTCCTAAGTAACAGAGACAAACCTTGATTGAAATCTCAAAATATGTTCTGGCCCTTCCTGAGCAGACTACCCTCTGTTACAGAGCTATGCAAGGCAAACAGTTACTGGTGACTGAAATTTCTCTAGCAGAAAGACATGAAGGGAGAAGTGTTGCCTTGCTTTAAAGCAAATACTTCTGTCTGGTACAGTAATGAAACAGAGTTGGGTTGTTCTGTTTGGTTTATGGGCAAATCTCTTACCCCTTCAACCAGCCTGAACCCTCATTAATATTGACATGGTGTGTTTGGTATAGCTGTTCTAGTTCACTTGGCTAGTGATCCATAGGATGTGTCCTGGTTACTCCAACAAACTAATTTATACTGTAGATTGCCACCTGCTCTGATGATAACACTGTGAGGATTTGGCGCTTACGACGTCATCCTGAGGAGAAATCAGCTTTCAGCAAAACCAACTTGGTGGGCTGGGTCACTCAGAAGAGACCAGAAGAACAATGTGGAACAGGTAAGGCCCCTGAGCTGAGATATCTTGCTCTGCAACATGGCTTCTGAATTTTGGCTGTTCTCTGTACCAACAAATGCCTTTGGCTTGTCTTACTAGTCTTCTACTTTTTTCATATTAGACAGTATAGCCAGACAAAAACTTCTACTTGTAAATACTTCTGCCACCAACAAGACAAATTGGCTGAAATAGCTTACAAGTATGCCAAAGTCTGTATAACCAGACTGCAAAGCAAATATTCATTAATATAGCTTGTTGGACAGCCAGATATTCAGTGGGTATCAGAATGGTTCACTAATTGAAGAGCCAGAGATGTCACACTTTTTAAAATACCAAATAATAACTGAGAGCGGTAAGATCATGTGCGTTTTCCAGTTTGCTAGTTTACCCAGTAAAGGGCTGATGGCACATATATAGTCTTGGAACTCTGAACTGTTTCCTCCTGTACAGTAGTTGAATTCTGCACAGATTTCTTTGCTGCTGCTATCGATATTACGTCTCTTTCTTCAGCTTCATACAGTAGTACTGGCTATCTAAACAGACATATGCCATGTAGTGAAAGTAGACAATCATGATGTGATCATAATGTTCCAGAATTAATCAGTAGCATTCATCTGTTCATGTGTTAAGGCTAGTTAACAAATGCAATGCCTTTCTAGAGACCCTAGGTGATCAGACAAGCTACACATGCAGCATGTTCTTAGAGCTAGAAAGCAGACCCAGGCTCTGTAGAGAAGCTACTCACCGGACAGTACCCTAGACCAGAAGAAAGGAGCCCTGGATCATGGCATTATTTTGACTTGCTTGAAACTGGCATTTTCTTACAGTAGAGTAGGTGAAAGGAGAATAACATGCACACACACACCCCTAAGGTGAAATAAGATGAGCTTCTCTGTAGAGTACCTCTGAAACTAAGAATAACAATAGCTTCCCAGCAGCTGCTGGTATGACTTCCTGTGTTCCACCTATCTTTTCTAGCCACCATCCAAATGAATTTCACCTTGGCTAACACAAATAAAGGCTGAAGGTCTCCAAATCCCACTAATGGGATAACATTACCTCTAACCTTTTGCCAGTGAGTAACTGTCTTGCAGGAAGCTTGCAGGACAATAGCAGGGAGAGTGCCAGGTCTGCTCTGTAGCTGGTAAATTGTTTGTGTGAAACACACTCTGCTTCAGAGAAGGTTCAAAAGTCTCTTTGCGTACTATTTTCAGCAAAAGAGAAGTAAGCATAGGTCTAGTCCAGAAGCCTGAAATCTAAAGTAGCTTGTATACTAAAACTTTACAAGTCAGCTTTGGCAATTATACTAGAGAAAGGACTTATTTGTCCTCGCTCTTGCTGCATTAAAGTAACACAGGAGGGAAGAGGAAGTACACAGACACTGCAAATACAACAGCAGGCTTCCTGCTGACCTTGGCTCTTGAACACAAAGCACATGCTGTTGGAATATAGGAGTTATCTGCAGAGACCAATTCAGAGCTGGCAAGTTAAGTACTATTTCAGACCTGCTGGGATGAGATTTAGGCAGTTCCCTACCCATTTATGTGGAACAGATTATGAGACTGAAGTTGCATATTGACTGTTGACCTCTATCTTCAAGCATAGCAAGCACAGTTTCCTTTTCTTTGGAGATTATTTTTGTGGTTTCCCTAAGTTGCACTATGTTCTCTCTGTTTTTGTGTAACCAAATTTCTGGAGCAGGCCTGTGTGTGGACAATTTGTGACTAAAATTGAGAGATTGATAATATCACTCTAGAAGATTTGTAGCAGAGAAGATAGGAAACATTTGAAATAACCTGCTTTGGCGTTATGCAGGTTGTTTGCAGGTATTTACAGCTTTGTACTACACACAATGGCAGCATAAATGGAAACAGCTTGGAATAGGTTTAGTGAAAGCCTGAATAATGAATGCAGTCTTACAAAAAAGCTTGATCTTCGTATTCTTTATCTCAAGTTTTGCGATGTTCCTCAAGTGTGGATTTGTTTCACGTGGTGACACCTGTCAGAATCTCAGGATAGCTTTTTTTCCCCTACCCAGTGTCTCCACAGTATAACCTTCTGACTGGTTTGTGTTTGAGAGTGCTCATACACAGCTATTCATGCAATATTGCTGCTGCATGAATTTGTAGATGGTCATTAGGAATCAAGAGTTGATGAGATTGCTACTTCTCTTCTACCTCTAGGACTTTAGATTTTTAAGTGCAACTAATTCCCCAGCTGAGATATTGTCTTGTAAGTGCTCATTAAAGATTAGAACCAATCTTGGCAGTTACTTTCTCTTAGTCCAGACTGAAGCAAGTTGTTATAAAGTAACATATTTTATCAGGAAAGGAGCCTTTAACTCTGTTTTGTGTGTTAGAGTGATTTGTAGGGGGATCTGTTAATACATGATCCTATTTAATTTTGCTCTGATAAATCCATACTTGTATTTTGGATACTAGATAACACAGTGAAAGGATCAAAAGAAGCTAGTATGGTATATAATCAGAGTCATGTAGGTGGCTCACTTGACATGTTATTTGTGAGACACCCCAGCAGCCTAAAGACATTGGCAGGTTATTCACACTAGACTTCTTATTGTTCTAATGAAATACTTTATAGTTCAGTGGTAATGTTGAGAATTAGGAGTTCAGATTAAACCCTCAGTATACAGAAGATGTTTAGAATTCTTGTGCTCAGTGGTGGAAATGCATAGAGTAACTAGGGTGCTATCCTATTTAATTGCGTCACCACAAGTTAGATGAATGAGAAAGCACGCATCTAACAAACCCACTAACGTGTCCTCTGTTGGAGGGTACTAGAAATATAGGGGAAAAAAAATAGCCCTCTAATACTGCTGCAGACCACGATCTTTGCTATATATGATTCCCGCTGTTACTAGTGAGGTCCTTATGTCCCTATCTATGACTATTGTTTTAAGAAGCTGGATATTCAGAACTTTTTAAAAGCAGGGGAGCTTATGACTTGGCTAGTGAGCTCAAAAGCCACTGTTAAATAACTGTTTGGGAATAATTTGCTTTAAAGAAATAACTTACTACAGTGACAGATTTTATTTTCTTTGGAATTTAAGCCCTTGTTCTGGAGATGAAGAATTTCTCACATTTCCCTGGGTGTGGTAAATAACTACTGTCTTCATACTAATATAGCATTGCAGAATATCCTCCAGCAAAAAGAGAAGTGAATGAAAGTATGTCTTTTCCTGTTCTCACTCTTGTTTTTTTTCATCTTTAAAATATGCAACTATTAATGCCTGACTAGGAACATTATTCATATGGTAGGGCATTATAGCGTAAGGCTTCTTTGGTGTTGTAATTAGCTGTGGGACCTAGCCACAGTAGCTTTGTCCCTCAACTCAGTTATGCAACCATTAAAGATGGTGGTGCAGGTGGGAACCAGCCTGGCTCTCAGGCAGCATCTCAATCCAGAGCTGTCTGTACTGAGCCACTGCAAAGCTTCCAGCAAGGCTAGATAAACTTGGAAGATCCAAGATCTGTTTTGTCTGCCTGTCAGTCCCTTGGCTGTAACTCACCTAAGAGTGTTCATTACAGAAGGGATAGACATCAGACATTACACAAATGTACTGTATTATATTTACCAATACGATACAGGATTTTACATAGGACTTGTACCATTTTAACTGAAATTAGAGGGATTTATGCAACCTCTTAATTCAAAAGGGTATGTCTGAGAAGCAGGCTCAGCACTGAATTCATCTCGTAGTTGGAAGGGGTGTTTATAAAAGGGCTGTCTTTAATCTCCTGTTCTGTGCTGCTCATCAGACTACTATTTCTCCCCTATCAGGACTGCCAGCCAGCCCACAGAGTACTCCTGCCAAGGTCTTCACAGTGGGCAGCCCATGCATTTCCTCGCCACGGCTGGCTGCCTGTGCTCCCATTTATTCTGGAGACCTTCCTCTGTCTACAGTCACTCCAACGGGCACTCCCAAACCCCAGACGGCTGCAGCCTGCACCCCGGCCAAGCAGAGTGGAGCCAGCCCATGCGCTTCTCCCAGACCAATCCCTTCCTCCAAAATGTCCATTAAACATTGGGTTACAAGGACTCAGTGCTCTTCTCCTACAGAAATGGGGAAAAAGGCTTCTTCTCCTAGAAAAGCACTGGCAGAAGTCACCCAAGGTCTTCTGGAAGGCACTTGCCCTCCTAAAGCTCCACAGTCCCAGTTTGAAAAGCGTGCCAAGAGAAGGCTTGACTGCAGCAAGGACGACAGTGCAGGGAAGAAGTGTCTGCAGGCCTGTAGCTGTGTGACTGAACTGGACCATGTGGCTAAGAAATCCAAGCTGAACTTATGTCACTTGGCTGCAGACCAAAAGGCTTGTGATGAAGGCTCTTTCAGCCTGGCTGACTTGGATAATGACAGCGAAGGCTCCAGCCACAGCCCAAAAGAGCCTTCCTTTCCTGGAAGCCGTATTAATCCATTGGGCGTTCAAACTCCCCTCCATCTTTTCAGATCTCCATGTGCAAAAGACACTGAGGTAGTAGATAAAGAGAATAGTTCACCTGAAAGAAAAAATTGGTTGTCTGCTCTGGGAGAGAAGCTACGGACTGGCAGAGCTGGCAGCCAGAGCACATCAAACAGCCCCCCATCATCTTGCAGTCCTGGTACCAAACGACAAGAGGCTGTGGTAGCAGCCACTTCACCGAAAACTGTAAGTAGGATGGTCAGTGACAGTGATCATAAAAGAAGTTATCCCTAGCTGCCACTCTCCCCTTGTTTGTTCTCTCCTGCTCAGGCATTCAAAGAATTATCTGATCCCTTTGATTAGGGACAAAAGGGATCATTTCTGGCCTAGTAAACCAAATACATTAATGCTGTTATCTACTAATCCCCTCTGTGCAGGAACAGAATTTTTAGGATGGTGGTGTCCCTCATTTTAAAGGGACTTAGGGTCCCTCATTTTAAAGGGTCTCACAGTCCCCAGCTGGATGTTAGAAGGATGTAGCCATTGTCTGAAATACAACTCTACTCTGAGAAGCACAATAATGACAGCACCTTTCCTGGCAGATCTACTGTTTATCCACTGTCATATCTGCCTACTTATGTTACTGGAAAGCCACTTCAACATTGGAAGAAAGGTAGCAAAAGAATGTGTTACCCAAGTTAAAACCATCGAGCTAAATAATGCCTTCAGTTCCTTCAAAACTAATAGAAAACAAAGGAATTGTAAAAGAGTCAGAGGACAGGATTTGACCTACATAGTCCAACTTTTGATATACAAGAAGCCTGGCACAGACTTCATCCTAGGTTCTGAAAGTTAAGCTTGTAAAGCCACTAAAAAAGTTAGCATGAGGACATGAGGGTTTTAACATGCAAACGGAGAAATTATAATTACATTTTTTAAAACAAACCAAACTTGACTTATCTCAGAAACTGGACTCCATGTCCTACAGTGTCTTTGACTGGGTCTTATTTCAGTAAATGGGGTGGGTAAACTTTTAATCATCAAATTTTAGTTATACTCTCAATTTAATATCTGATGTTATAAGTTGTTGCCACCATTAAGACTTATTTTGGTATCTCATGTCTTACTTGATTTCACCTCTTCCACGCTTCTGTCAGATATGTGATGAGCAAGCCACCACTCCTTAAGTTACGCATAGGAGCTGAACTCTTCATATTGTGGTGGTACCAAGAAATCTTGATTGTAGGAAACCTACAACTACTTGTGCTTTATGCTGTGCGTGTTCAAACACAAGACAGAAAGATTTGCCCTGGCGAGAGATTACTGTAGAACAGTTACCTTTCCCACCCAGTATGCCCTAGTTCAGATTTCAGGATGCTTGTGTGTTGTACTCAAAGCCTGAGGAGTTGCCTGGAGTACCAGCAGCATTCATTGATTTGCTGCATCTTAGAAATCTGCAGCTCTCTTATCTGCTGTAGGAAAGCTGAAACTGCAGCCAGAGTGCTTTTCTTGTGGCAGTAAGACAACACTAGGTTTTAGCCAGTGTTTCCTGTAGGTAGGAAGCCTCTTATCTGCGAGACAAACAGATTATAGTAATAAAGAACCTTTCATTTGCTATCTTAGTTGGGAAGCTAAACAAGCTGAAGCAATGATGGAGGGGAGATTTAAGACTCCTGCAGCATATGAAATGTTAACCTAGAAACATTTCTTGTTGGTTTTGTTTTTTTCTTCTTCATAGGCTGCAGCCACTTCGGTTTCTATGAGGAAGATCTGCACATACTTCCACAGAAAGCCACAGAATGACTGAAGTGGCATGCGGTGATTGCACCTGATGGGTGTTGACACTATGGTATCAAGACCAGATTTAGCAACACCAACAACAATTCACTGGGATTACAGTTTGTTGTCAGACATTCATAAGCTTGGAGTGTTATTCTTCTGGTTTTAATGATGTTAACAGTTGAAGTCAGCTGAGTGTGGAAGGTCTACACAATGCTTACTTGTGGTCTCTTACTGAGTTTGGATGATGGATTTTTTTTTTTTATAAAGAAAACCAGAGTATTTTTTAAATGGCAACTGTTATAGTCCAAAGACAGCAACAGCTCTGCTGTGCATTGTTGACAGGCACATATAGCTTGTAAGTTTATGTTACTGATCTGCTGTTGAAACTTCCTCTACTCAAGAATAATGTGTAAATCATTACACCCTCTTGAAAAACAAGTGTTGGAATTTGCGTAGAGAAACTTATTGGAGGTAGATCTGAGCCCCTTCATGCTGATGGCATTTCTACAGTTATTCCTCTAGTACTGCAAATGACTACCTCCTTCCAGCAGGAAAGTTATGTATGTGTTAAGTAAATATAAAAGACTTTTAAACACCCTGTGTCCACCTGACGGTGATTATAGTCTAAGCGGCGACAAAGTACGTAATGCCTGTACTCCTCTTGCCATCCCCTTTCTTCTCCCAGTCTGAAAACTTCTGTATTTACAGACTCAGCTGGCTCTTGAACCATCAGCACTACAGTTGTTGAGGCCAACAGCTTGTCACTTCTCTGAAATAAAATACTGGCAAGGCATGTTAGAAGAATAAGTTTGATCTATCCCAAGTGGGCATCCCATAACAGCCAGTCGCTCGGTCACCTCTTACAGATTCAGCCTGTAGCAAAGGCATTAATAACTGTTTATAACTTGATAACACTTTTATAGTACAAAAATAATAGCTTGTGAATTGGGGGAGGGGCACTTGACATTTTAGAAAGCACTTGACAGAGTTTACGTATTAATATTAAATGCTTTGCCATTGTAAGTTGGCACTGATGCTGATAGAATAAGGTCACTGAAATGAGATCACTGTCCTGCTGGCTAATGATACTAACTCATTCGTCATGCTTTCCCCAGGGGAACCTAGTAGAAGATCCTAATCTTTGGTTGGAGCATTTATTTGGTCTTCTCGTATAATAGTTCCTATGAAGTTTAGAAAAAAAACCCACAACAAACAAACCAAACCTCTGAATCCCTATTAAGTTTTTCTACTACAAAAGAATTGAGTTATTTGAAGGGGATGTGATCCAACTAACTCATGTTTTCCAGCTGAAATTTTCACACCTACTTTATAGTAACATTGAATAGTACAGTAGCTGAAAGGGATTAGAGGAAAACGTGCTGGTTTGTATTTTATGTTGTAGATTGTGTTTTGCAGGGAAATAAATGACTTGAGGGAAACCAGCTTTTGTGAAAGGTCTCTTACAGCTGCAAATCAAAAGTAAATGTGTAGTGTGCTTTCTTAAAAAAAGAAAAGTAGTCATCAAGTTGTAGCTTTTAGCAGGAGGACCCAGGTATGTAGAGGGGTCAGAACAACTTTCTCCCATGAGCTTTGAGGAGATGCCGTTAGGAAAAGTAATGTAATGCTTCAGGCATTTTTTTATAATTTTAGTTTAAAAAAATGGATTTTTAAAAAGCAATTATCTGAATAGATCTAGTGTCTTGTGCAAAACGTGAATATAAAAATATGTTAGTATAATTCTAACCTACTTCTGGATATAGAGCTGGATGAAAGCAGTAGAAACAAAACCTAAAATAAGTAGGTTTGGGATTGTATTCTGTCTTAGTTTTCATTATTAGAGCAACTGTGTAGGGTACAACCTGCCTTGCCTATAGCCAGTTTTTCATTCAGGATTCATCTATGCGGTTTGTAAACAACAGGTTGCAGGATAAGGATATATTGACCCTATTGAAGAACAGGCGAGTTGTCAGACATTTCAGCAACAGGATTTCATGTTCCTCCACTTCTTTCACAATATTTTCCTCCTCCAGAAACATTCTGCAGCAAAGCCATTATCTCCTATATCTTATAAATGGCTATCTAGAGATGATTTAAACTGATGAGTTACCTCTTGGATGAATAATTTTGTGTGGGAATGTGAGATTTTCTCCTTTCAAGTAGTACCTGTTTAGTGTAACAACTTGTTTTATGGACCACCAGGCATACTTTCTTATATCTTAAGCTGATATCAACCTGGTTCAGAGCTTAGGAAAATTAACTGAAACTTATATTCTTCTATGTCCAACTGCCTTGACCTTATTGTGATAAAATCATGACTGCGAACGCATGGAAGAATTGCTGATACAAATCGTATGTCAAATGGTTTAAGGTAACCAGTGCTGTCTTTACCTGAGACACCTGCTGAACTAAGCATTCGAAGAACTGAGCTCTTGCTTTGAGTCAGCAAGCTATACCTCTGAATTATCTTTCCTTCTAAAGGATTTACAGAAACTCTGTACTCCATGATTTATAATCAAATTAAGCCTTTGGAGATATTATTCTCAAATCATATGTATATATGTAGATCCCACCTTGTGTATCTTGCAGGTTTTTCCAAGTGGATGATACTGCTTACTGATGTCTTGTCTCTGTCCTCAGTGTTTACCCTCTAATTGCCAAGGGGGATTTGAGAATGACCATGGCAGTTTATGATGGTCCTATTTCCAATAGTTGTTACTACTGCTTTGCTGGAAGCTATGACTCTCACTGCTCAGCTTTGAGCAGTCAACCAGTTTTAGTTTAATAGTAGTTTGACAGTGACTTGGCAAAACTGAAGAGGCACTCCCAGGATCTGTACAGATGCATGGTCAGCAAGCCTTGGCAAGCATTTCTTCTGGTAACAGCACTGACTGAAGAATCCCTTGGGGAAGCTAACTACAAAGAAAACCAAACATTTAATTGCCTCAGTTCCCTGACTCAGCAGCTTGTTATGCCGAAACCATTAAGGGGACAGAAGTGAGGGTGTGGCGACGGCATTGCCACTGAGGGGACTGTTCTGTCAAACTATCTCTTGATGTGTAGAGTTGGTAGCTTCTTGTTGGTCAGGGAGTGCTAAAATCAAGTCTTCCTTTGTCACCGTTGTTTCTGCAGCCTGTGAAAATGGCTGAAATCTCCTGGATGGTCCATCTTACCTTTGAGGGTCCAGACCACCCTGTAAACTGACCTACAGAGTTTAAAGGAAAACACACTACTGTGGCATTGAGAAATGTTCCAGGTGCTATCTCTGTGTGGTATATAATATCTTAACAAGTCTTGTTTAGAAATAGATGCTTTTCAGCCAGGGATTTACCAAAAGCATTTGGTAGCTGGCTAGAGGTATCACTATATTCAAGGGTTTACATGTAGGCCTTGCATCCAGAATGCCTCTTAAAGACGTTCTTCAAGGTTAAATATTAAGAGTTTTTTTATAGCCAATACTGGCTTGGCAGTAAATGCAAAATAGTGTTCATCTTCAGGTCCATTGCAATCAAATGTCATTTTTGCCTCTCTCTGATTTGTGTATGGTCCAGTCTACAACAAATAAAATACATTCTGCCACTATAGAGTGTCCATGTATCGTCCTTCAAAGAAAAGCTTTGGCCATAACCAAGTGATCTCCATCTACACTGCACAAAATGACAAATACGATGGAAAACAAAGATGAGGGGAAGGCAAACAGGAAGGAGACTATATGTAATTTCTTTTAAAATAACTTAATAACTTAAGAAGAAACATTTCATGTCAATTGTTTTATAGAAATAAGCACAATGATGTGAGGACAGCATGAACCCAGAAGGGCAAAAGCAAAATTATAATCAAGGAGTACCTTTAATTTTTAAGCCTCAATCTGAATTATGTACTTTTTAAATCAGAATAAGTAATTTGCCATCTTAATTTCCACATTATGGAAAAATTCCAGGGACTAAAAGTACAAGTTCAACAGGAAGACCTATTACTCCAGGCTTGTGCAACTAGACATAGACTTAAAGATCAGAAAAGATTCAAATAGTCCAAGTACCCTGTCTTGATAATTTCAACATGGTATCTTTAAATCTGTTTACGCTACAGCAGCTCTTACTTTTGAAGTTGTTCAGTCTTGATTTCAAGGCTTCAAGTGATAACAAGTCCATTACCATTGTACATAAGATTATTCTAGAGGTGAAATACTGTGAAAAGATTCTGATTGACCTACATTTTTAATTTGTTTAGCTTTGCCTTTCACCTGTTAGCTCAGATGATTCACTTTTTGGTCTGGGTTAAAGATATTTCTACTACTACAGATCTTTTATCCAATATGTAGGAAGTGCAGACATAAGACTGAACCACCTCTTGTTCTTCTCTTTCATGAGCTAAAGAGATTCTACATACAAACCCCAGAATGTTTCTCAAGCTTGAGTAAAACAGCTAAATTCTTCATTCCTTCACATTAAGGTGCCACAGAAGTAGCTCCACTTGTATTAACACAAAGCCACTCTATCTTTCCTTCATCTCAAAGACTCAGCTTTTTGATTTACTTTTCCCCTCTTGCTTAAAGAAGAATGGCTGAATCGTTAGGTAAAATATCTTCAACAATCCAATTCTGCACCATGCCTTGATTTTTTTATTTGGGTCATAAATTATGTAATTCCCTGACTGCCTCATAAGTGTGCTCTCACATTGTATCGTGAGCATGGCAGCGGAGGAGATGGACACAAATCCAAGCAGCAAAGACTAAGAAGACCTAGTAGAGCTGATCATTCTTACATCAGCTTACCCATAACTGTGACAAAGTATCAATATACTCTCATTTGGTTGGGGTTTTATCCTTCTAGTTGTAACATCATTATGATAGAAATCTCAGTTTATTGTTCTATTCCTGTTCTTGCAAAAGGCGTTAAGTATCCAAAAACCAGACTAATAATAGTCCATAGGACTATAAAGCCAGTTCCGCTGTACGCTGCAGTGACAGCAAAGTAGGCTGTGTTGACAGAAGTTTAGCAAATATTGTCAGAGTGTATTACTGAATTATTCAGTGTCACCATTATTTCTGTTCTGCTAATTTTCATGGATTTACTGATGCAGGAAGTGACAGTGCGTATACTGTGAGATCAAGAGATCCATTGGATTCTTGAGAACAACGTGTGACTGACAAATGCAATGAGCTCTGATCTGCTTGAATAAACTGATTTGCTACAGGTAGTTGACAGCAAGGTGATTATGTGAGAATTGAAAGCATTGTGTCATAAGGAATCAGCTGCAGGAACACATGCAATTGTTTTAAGAGGTAGGACTGGAGCAATAAAGAGAAAGCTGATGTTTGCAGAAGTTAGAAGGGGAAAAAATAATCAATGTAAGGGTAAAACTAAAAGAACAAAGTACATTGCATAAGAGATGCAGCCAACAGGAGAGACTAGTCTTCACCCAATTGTTGTATACTTAGACGAAAGAGTAGGACTTGGGAGGGCCATGCTACGCCTCCTATCTGTATACTCCAGGTTTTTTCCTCTGTGCAATAGGACAGTTGTCCGTGTTTGCCAATTCACCCCAATTAAGAGTGGGTGTGAGTTTGAAGGCTGTTCCTGATCCTTCTCTGTGTGGGCACTCTTCTTCCACCTGGTCTGATTTAACCTAATCCACTCTTGGAAAGAGTCAGTTTTGACAGAGTATTAAGATCAACCAGAATAAGATTTTCTTGTTTCAGAATAAACCTGTTTTTGCACAAGGTTGTTCAGAAACAGCTATTCTGAGGTAACAGCTCTGCAGTAACTCCACCATGTAGGCGATTCTTCAAGAAAGTGATGCGAGACTGCTGGGTGAGTGGTATTACATAAAACCAAGGATACTCTCAAGCATGAAGTCAGCAGGAAAACTTTCCTTCACAAAAATTAATTTCTTACTTTTATTTTCTATTTGGCACCCCCAGCCATATCAGGTAGAAAGGATTGACATTGTGAACAGCTCCAGCGGTGTGTAACACAACCTGTGGCTTGGCTGTTGACATGCTGCTGACGATCCGAGGCTGTGAAGGAGCTGCTGCTGCTGCCTGATGGCAGAGCCCTCGCCTTCCTGTCAAGTGACAGAGACGTCCGCTCGCTTCACAATTTGTACAAAATTGTGCTGCTCCACTTTCCCACTGTGCACAGGCCCACAGTAACGGGTGTATTTCCTGCAGTCGCCTGCATCCCTGTGCCTCCGCCGGTCTGAGCACAGCCCTGCATCGCCTGTGCTGGCTCCCACCACCTTCTCTCCCCGGCGCGGCCCCTTGGGGAGGGCCCGTGGGTTCCCCGCTGCGCTCACACAGCCAAAGTACTCAGAAAATCACATTCTGGCTGTGCTTTTGTCTGCTTGCTGCGCACCCGGCAGGGACACCACCTTGGAGCCATCCCTACCGTAGAACGTGTGTGCAGCCTCTTTTTTCATTTTCTCCCTGGGAGGCGGAGAAGAGCGAGCTTTAAATATAATGCTGTGAGTTCAACGCTGCTAAGCAGAGCTTGTCTGCAGATGCAGCTGGAGTTCCTGGCTTAGTCCCGGCACAAGTGAGTTAAGGACAAAAGGGTCTTCATTGCTCTTATGCAAAGAGACAATTTCTGTGGCAGCTGAGGGCAGCATTAGTATTCATGCCTTGGCTGATCTGGCAGCAAGGCGGCTAAGTTGATATTAACTGTGGCACAATGACTGGGTTTTATGGGCTTTTTCTTAATATATATCACAGGTAGCCAACCCAGGGGATCTTTATGCTATTTCCTTGAGGTACCTGCTCTCCTACCCACTCCAGCAATGGGCCTTGGGTTTTTCTTGCAATGGTGGTTGTTTAATAAGAGCCACAGGCAGATTCCCTGCCTGGCTCATTTGTTGTATGTTGTAATCCTATATTGGTTTATTTTTCAGCTGAACAAAGTTCCTCTTAAACTCAAGTCATTTGCGTTTACAAATTCTTTATTGTGTAATATACTAAAATTTTTTCCCAGTGTTTGAACGGGACCATAGATTTGCAGCCGAGACATTTCCACATTATATGCATTAGAAAAGTGTTACCCAAAATGACTAATGGAATTATTTCTGCTCCAGGAAGCAAAATGATGCTGAATAAAAGAGAGAAGAGGATTTATATGGAAACAGGAGTATATTCCCCTTTGCCTGGGCCCGCCAAAATCTCCCTCCTCTTCCCCTTCATCATGTGTCTCGCCACAACACGAGGGTGTGCCAGAACATGTTCCCACAACCTTTCAACCCATTCAGCACAGCCTGCAACTTTCCTGGCTATTTTTGTGTATTCCAGGTAATGATTAAATGCTGAGGACTGTGCTAATACATCCTTTCACCACTGGCACCCAGCAGAATGCAATCTCAGCTGTTCACGGACTGCTTTTCCAGTTATTCTTCCTAAAAAAATGGATTAACAATAGATTATCCTTGTGATCATGAAGGCATAAACCTGAAGATGTGTTGTTCCTGGCCAGGACTCCAGCTCTTAGTAATCAAGCATTCTTCTTGTTGACAATATGATTTCTGCATCTAACCAAAGCCCTTTGCCATCTGCCTTTGCCTATTACAAAACAAAGCGGCTCACCTGCTGAAGATTAACCACCTCTGGGTTGAAACAGGGCAGCTATTTAATTATACAGACCTAGAGCATGCAGTGGTTTCCTGAGCACCTCCAGTTGTATAGCGGTATTTTAGCTTTGCTTCAACTTCTCAGTCTATTTACCAAATATGCTATAACCCTGCTAATGATTTATCCTTTGTAGAAAAGCCCCTTTCTGCTCTGACATCTGCCATTTTTTCCATTGCTCAGAAATACTTGGGTGCTTTGAACCCCACTAACATAGCAAGATTAATTCAATCTCACATTGACCAGGCATAAGAGTTACCATCAAATCACTGTGGCTCACCAAACTTGTCAACACCAGAACAGAGTCTCCCATTTTGGGTTGAGGTGCTGCAATACAGCACCAATAAACCATCACAATTGCTTCTGCAATATCAGCTGACAGTGACCAAGGCACAACACAACCCTCATGACTGACGGGCAGCCCACTGACAGCTCACAATGCAAAACACCTCACCTCTGTTTCATGTTGTATCCTGGTGAATTAAAAACAAGCAAACAAACAAACAAACCCAAATAAAAACCAACAAAATCATAGTGTTACCACTGAACAAAATAGGGGAGCATCAACCACTGCAATGTGGGAAGGACGTGACAGGATCAGAAATTGGAGCTTTTGGTTCCCACCTTCCCACTCATCTTCAGGAGTGCCTGAATCCTTGAGGAGCTCTCATTCTCTGAGCTTCCAGGCAGGCTCTGCAGTGATGTTTGATAGCAGGAGTTTGTCTTCCAAGGACCTTTGGCACCAGTGAACATTTCAACATTAAGGCCTGACTCACTAAATAGAGCGGGGGTAATTGTAGGGAGCCCAAATCAGGATATGGCTTTGCACAGACCTACAGAGGCAAGCAATTTTTCATGCCGAGGTGACTTACTAGGAACAGGGTCAGGCAGAATTAGGAAGCACTTCTCTGATGGGTTAGCTCTGGGTCTGCAAGATGTATCCACTGAGTCCCATGGGGTAGCGAGGGGA